TGACTGCCTATTTGTCTCTGAGTCCAGTTCAAGGTTCTGGTCATCACCTGTAAAACCCTTTATGGCCCAGGGTCCACAGATGATAGATCAGGACGTGGGAGACCCAGATTCAAGGTCTCACTCTGCCATGGAAACTTGTGGGGTGGCCTTGGGTCAGGCTCACACTCGCAGCAGAGCCTACCTTCCTTTTTCTGCTCAAACCAGCATACCAAGTGCTTTATTTCTCTTTGGTGCCTCTAGCCTCCTGGGATGGCCTTCCCGTACATGTCAGGAAGGTTTCTCCTCTAGTAGCATTCCAGTGCCACTCTAAGGCTGAATCACTCAGCAGGGCCTTTCCAGTCAATTGGAAGCTGCTCAGAGAGTGGAAGTCTAACACCTGCTGTTTGCATCAGTTGCTTGAATCTGTTTTAATTGTCAAATAGGTAATTTAATTTTTAGATGTATTTTAAACAACAGTATAACCCACCTTTAATCATTTCTTGGGGGAAGGTGTGTGTCAAACTCTGCCTCTAGTTTGCCATGATGTCTGGGGGATGGGAAATGCCGGGGTGTGTGTGAGTGTTAGAGTGTGTGAACCGCAGGGTTGTAGAAGCTGAAACTCTTTCTCCAAGATACCTCCCTGAATGCCAGGGATGACCTTGAAGTTAAAGCTGTGCTTTTCTCACTTTCATAGATAAGTGAACCATATATTTCCAGGGGTTAGAAGCCTAAAATGTAGGTGGGAGGTTGGCAACGTGTGATTGGTGCACTCTGGTTTGAACTGTCTATAACGAAAGTGTCAGAACTCCCTCTTTTCGACTGCTGCATCAAGAACACGATGACAAGCGAAGGCAAAGAAATCCCAATGGGGACAGGGACCAGCACAACAACCGAGATCCTGATCCCCAATCCAGATGACCAGAAGGGCAACAGCGCAGCCGGTGTGTGTGCCAAGACAGGGTCCACAAGCTCAAGGAGGCTTTCCCCTACCCAGGCAGGTGCGAAGACCTGGCCTGGATCTGCACCCCGGGACAATGAGGCAAGAAGACTCGCCCCGACCTGGAATGAAGGAGAACCTCTCGCACGTTCAGTGATGATCCTGAGAGACTGCGAGTGGCAGAGGCACAGAATGAAGAGGTGAGTGTGGAACACTTCCGAGTGGAGATCCGAGAAGAAGTTGAGGCACTCCGGAAGGGCATCCAGATACTGATTCGGAACCTCCCAGAGATTGTCCGCAAGCTCATGGAGAAAGAGCCAAGCAACGGAGAGGAAGAGGCAGAACCAGAGCAGACGCCTCCCCCCCCTCCAGCCAGGCCGGTGGGCCCACCAGACCCGGTGCAGGGACCAGATTGCCCCAAGGAAGCCCCAGAGGTGACTTTCGATGGCACCCCAGAAAAACTGGTGTTCTTCACTATTCAGGTGCAGAAATTCCTCTGGGAATGGGACCATACCTTCGCTTCCCACAAGCACCCGGTAGATTATGTGGGGGCTTGGCTGCAAGATCGCACAGCAGACTGGTTCGTGGGGCTGTATAACGTGGGAGCCCCAGAGCTGTGCAGACCCTACGACAGCATTACAAAGACCCGTTAGAACTGGAGGGAGCTTGGACACGTATTCGAGGAATGAAGCAGGGGTCTCATACAGTTCATGAATACTCAGGCAAGTTCAAGACAGATGCCACCAAGTTACAAGGTTGGCCCGAGGAGGTGTTCATCGAGTTTTACCATGGAGGCCTTAACCCTACCATCTTGGAGAAGGCACTGGCACAAGACAACCCCCTCACCCTGAATGGCTGGATCCAGGTGGCCTGTGAAGCTGGAAATCGCCTCAACCTGGTGCGGATGTACTACCCGAAGACCCCGGGCAAGGGGGCTGGGGGGGGGTCAAAACCCACCCGGGCTCGTACCACCAGCACGGGGGGAGACCATGACCACCAGATGCACTTAGGTCACTGTCTGCATTGTGAGGCCCCAGGGCACTTTGCTGCTGCCTGTCCCCAAGGGAGGAGCCCCAAGAGACCAGAGAAGGAAGAGACCAAATGGAAAAGACCAAAGACTCCAGGAAAGAAACCCAAACCCTCCAAAGCTCTAGACCAAAGACTCCAGGAAAGAAACCCAAGCCCTCCAAATTGCAATTGGGGCCCCAGGACAACCTGGAAGGCACCTCGTCCAGTGACAGAGAAGAACATCAGCTGGCAGGAGAAGGCCAGGACTTGTTGTGAAGAGCGCCAACTGGCAGGTCCAACAACCGTCGGCATAAGATTCCCCCCTCTTTTATTTTGACTATTACCGTGATTAACCCAGGGGGGATGCACATTCAAGTGAAGGCCCTAATCAATTCAGGCTGCACCAGGGACATGATTAACCCAGCCATAGTCACAAGTTTGGGAGTAAAGGTGCACAAATTAAAGGAGCCCATAGTGTTCTCCCAAATGGACGGGACTCCAATGAGGGGGAGGCCTATTGCTACTGCACAATCCCTTTACCAGTGGGGGTAGCCTCACACTGGGAGCTGCACTCATTCGTGGTTAACCCCACAGCTAAATTTCCCATGGTGCCTGGGATTCCCTGGCTACATACAGTGGAGTACCGGGACCCTAACCTTCCTAGACCCCTGATGTCAGAGCCACCGATGGGATCCCGATTGAGGGGAAGAGCCCCACCCCGTGGCAGAATGGGTCTGTCTAGCGTGGGAAGAACTAAATCTAATACCCATGGAGTACAGGGAGCTGGCCTGGGTCTTTGAGTAGGAGGAGGCGGATGAGTTACCTCCCCACCCCAAAACTGACTGTGCAATAGAGATCCTGCCAGGGCACCAAATGCCCAAAGGGAAGCTTTACTCCATGAGCTCTACCGAGAAGGCAGAGCAGCAAAGGTTCACTGACAAAAATCTGGCCCCGGGGGTTCATCCAGCCAGCAACCTCTCTATTTACAGCCCCTGTACTCTTAAGCAAGAAAAAAAGATGGGGGGTTGAGACTGCATGGATTACAGGGAGCTGAATGCAATGTCTATGTCTAATGCTTAGCCCCTCCCCCTTTTAAAAGACTTATTGGTCGAGGCCTCCCAGGGTCAGATTTTTACCAATTTGGACTTGAGGGATGCCTACTTTCGGGTACACATCAAAAAAGGGGATGAGTACAAAACAACGTTTAACACACCCCTCGGACAGTTAGAGTATTGGGTGATGCCCTTCGGACTGACAGGGGCACCCTGGGTGTTCATGAACTTGATTAGATGATACCTCGATTTATTCCAAAGATAAGGAGTCACATGTGAGGTTGGTGCGTGACGTCCTGAAAGCCCTTTATGAGAACCACTTGTTTGCAAAGCTTTCCAAATGCGAGTTCCATAGGGAGGAGGTGGACTTTCTGGGGTACCGAATATCCAGGAAGGGACTGGGAATGGATTCCTGGAAGGTTTGAGATGTGGTGTGATGGGAATCCCCTAAAATGCAACATCAATTACAGTCTTTCCTGGGGTTCGCCAATTTCTAATTATAGAAATTATAGTACAGTATAGAATTTATAGTACAGGTGGATGCCTCAGACATGGCCATGGGGGGAGTGATCCTGCAGAAGGGGGAGGATGGGAAGTTGCACCCGATGGTCTATGTCTCCAAAAAGTTCTCAAAGACTGAACAGAACTGGGCTGTGTGGGACAAGGTGGCTGCCGCAATTAAACTGGCTCTAACTACTTCATGGCACTGGCTGGAGGGGGCTAGAGTTCCATTCGAGGTGTGGACTGATCACAAAAACCTTCTGTGCTCCTTGTGAAGAAATGCATTTTTCTTTGGACGTTTGAAATGAGCAAAATCTTCACTTTAAGTTTTAATTTTTTTTGTCTTTGGGCAGAGAACAGGCTGGGGAGGAGGAGTCAATTCAGTTGCTTTCTAGAATTACCTCAGCCCACCTTCATACAAATGCTAATAGGTCTAGACAATGGGATGGTCAAGCTCTCCTCCCCATCTCCAAGCAGGGAAGTGAGGTTTGGAGGAATTAAATACTAGAGAGGCCTCAGGAAGGAAATTAAGAGAAACTTCAGGATAAGCCTCTCTGACCTGGCCTGACCGGGTCAGTGGGAGGGGAAAGGGAGAAGAGGAAGCTCTTTTGTGCTGAGTCCATCAGAGCAGACAGAACTCTTAACTGAGGTCTGGAGGAGGCAGCCATCAACCAAGTGCTGGCCTGAAGAGCTGGAGGAACCTTCAAGGTAATGATAACTCTGTAGAGATCTGTAACTTCTTAAGCTCAGGAGCCTGTCCTATATTTCAACATCTGATAGGGCACATATAGAGAGAGGGATAGAGGTCTTGAGTTTTACCCTATTCTTTTGAATCCCTTGCTCAGTCTGGTGCTGTGCAAAAAGTATGCTGGCCGTGGTTCTCTGTACCACATAGACTCCTACCATCTTGGACACACTATTTTAAAAGGAGCACCAGGGGGAAGGCAGTCAGTTGGCAAGCAGCTATTCCTCCAGGGGCACACAAGGCAGTAAATGGTCCCCATAGTGACCGGGAGCAGGGCAGCAGGAGACAGAGGGGCAAGGCTTCAGACCTTGGAAAGGGAGCTGGGAGTCCTGACCTTCCCAATGAGCAATTCCTAAAAAGGTCAGGTGGTGGTGACGGGTTACCAGAGAGAGAAAAGCCTGTCCAGGTGTTGGGGAAACCTTGAAGGGCAGGGTGGAACAGGGCCTGTAGGCCACAGCAGGCCCATTCCACCACACTCCTCCTTCGCAATGTACCTCCCACCTTCAGACTGGAATAGAAAGGTTCAGAAATCTCCATTTCACCTGGCATCTGAGGAAGGCAGCTTTGACTCTTGAAAGCTTCTACCTTGAAAATCTTGATGGCCACTCAAGGTGCTCCTGGATTCAGATCCAGCTGTTCAGCAGTAGCTGAGCAACACAGCTACCCCTCCGAAACTACAACAGTATGTACATAACAGTGTACACAGCAGACCTAAGATTTTTTTTGGGGGGGGGGTGGATCATGACGCTATTTGAGAAGCAGAATGCCTTCGACTTACGTATTCATCAGGATTGGGATCCTGAGACTGGGGTGCTTCTGGAACAGCCGTGTCACAGTCTGGGCTGTAGTGCTCACAGTAATCGGCGGCTGCTCGATGATCATCCACCATAAGGAGCTGCTGGATGTCGCCCTGTGGGGAGTGTGGGAAAAACAAGACAGTTCAGAGATGGTACCCAAAGGCGAAACTCCATATTCAAACAAGAGAAGCCCCCCTCCCCCCAGGAAAAACTACTGTGGCTCTGAGCGACAAGTGAGCCTATGAAGGAGAGAGTCCCTGCCTGCAGCTGAATGTCTCTTTAGGGCAGGGCCGCCAACCACCAGGTAGAACCTGGAGACCAGCTCCCCTGGAGAAAATGGCTACTTTGGAGGGTGGACTTGATGGCATTATACCCTGCTGAAGCTCCTCCCTTCTTCAAACTCTGCCCTCCCAAGGCTTCACCCTCAATCTCCAGGGTAGCGAGAGATTGTCCTGGATAAGCATCAGCTGTCCCAAGATTGGGGCACAGTCAAGGTTGCTCCTTGAAGTTTACCCCCGCGCGTACGCGCACGCAACCCCCCCAAATGCTCTCTGAATTCTGACAATAAACATTGTCTCTCAGCATTTCAACACCCTATGAATAGTCACTGAACATAAATTCAGGTGGGCAGCTGTGTGTCAGGTTCCCAGCCAACCCACTCTTCACAAAGGCTTTCGTTAGGGAAGGTTTATTGAAGAGATTTGAGATGCTGCAAGGATGACTTCTTTGTCAGGACTGAGAAGTGGAAGCGGGGACAGAGTGTACAACTGAAACCCACATTCCAAGCAAACCATAAGTATAAGCAATCCTAAGAACCCAGGCGGATACAATGGTTCAACTAGCCACTCAAAAGTCTTATCGTCTTCAAGGACACACTCACGCGAAAGTTCCGTGAGGTGCTGCTTGGGAAAAAGGTTACCAGCGTTGCCTCCCTCAACTACAGACATCCAGTAAGTACCACTCCCTCCCACAGTCTCTCTCCCTCCCACCAGGAATGTCAGTGAGGGTGAGCGATAAGCGGGCGGCTGGATACATCTGCTTTAGCTAGCGAAAGCGAGGGGGAGGGGAATGGGGGTTGCGGGTTACATAGACCAGGTTGGTAATATTACAGGTGTTGAAGACATAATTAAGAACATAGTAGAAGGTGAACCCGAGTCTGACACCGTGTTGCTCTGAGGCAGCAGAACAAAGTTCGAGTCACTGCACATGTGGTTACCATTTGCCACACACGGCATTTGATTTCAGTGCCTGAAGTGCTTTTTATATATCTATCGGTGGCCCCTGCCACACGGCAAGGGAAAAGCCTCTTAAGGCGCGACTTTTAAAAGCCGTGCCAACATTGAGATGCCGCGGCGGGATCCCATGGATCCCCTGGCCGCGGCGCCTTTTCTCCCCGGCGCGATCAAACGCCGGTGAGAAAACACGGCCCTAATCGGGAGCCGGCCGAACTGCGCATGTCGGAGCATGCGCAGTTCGGCTCCGGGCTGGGGTTGTGCCAGCGCAAGGAGGCGCCGGCGATCATACGCCCGGCTAGAAGCGCGGCTTCAAGTTGAACCACCAAGGTAGGTGGTTTCAACTTGAAGCGGATTTGAGCGGGGAAGGGCCAGTTCGGGGATGGAAGCACCACGCTTCCCAGATGTTGTGGTGTGATTGCGCTGGTTTGATCCGCCCCCGAACTGTCCCGCAACTGGCCCAAATCACCTCGTGTGGACGGGACCACAGTAACCCTTTTAGTCTAAAAAGGGCCAGGTTAGTGGTCACGGGACTGTGGATGCCCCATTCAAAATTTGACTTTGAATTACAGGCTCATGGACAGCTAATACAAACACACTATATAGCATGAGATGGCAACCAATATAAACAGACTCTTCTTTAAAGTTAGTTAGTGTAACTCATATGATCCTTGTTGTTTGTATCAATACAACAAATGACAACATGGTCTATTTCTTAGAATAACTAATAATAACAAACAACAGCATGTACTTTTGTTCCATACAACTTTGTGAATGTTGTGTATTAAGCTCTGCAGTGAGCTTGAGTTCCAAACAGGATTGTAAATACACCAATCAGAGCCGCGCAATGTTCTGGAGGGAAGCACTCTGATTGGACCTTATCTGTAAATAGTGATTGGTTAATATCTGACTTGTGGGCGTGGCTACCCAAGCCCGGACTGTTTAAAAGAGAGCCTGTTGCTCTGTATGTTTGTCTCATTCTGATTTCTTCTGACTTCGTTAATAAAGCTGATTCACTGTTCACTAGCTGACTGTTCAACCCTGACTGATCCCTGGAAGGCCAGATAATGAAACTGAAGCTCAAATACTTTGGCCACCCAATGAGAAGGGAGCACTCACTGGAGAAGACCCTGATGCTGGGAAAGATTGAAGGTCAAAGAAGACGGGGACGGCAAAGGATGAGATGGTTAGACAGTGTCATCGATGCAACGAACATGAAGTTGAGCAAACTTCAGAGGACGGCGGAAGACTGGAAGGCCTGGCGGGAGCTGGTCCATGGGGCTGCAAAGAGTCGGACTCGACTGTGCGACTGAACAACAACAAAGCTGTGTTGACTCTCGTATTTAACAAATGGCGACGAGGATGGGATACTAGAGCGGGTAGGCAGCCCGGCTGAACCGACGCCAGAATGGCGGACGACCGAGAAGCCCCTGAAGGACCCAGGGCAGAAGAACGAGACCTGGCTGATCAAGCGGCTGCAGCACTTGTACCAGTGCCTGCACCCCGAACAGTGATGGCCGTCAACCCATGGTTCGAAGCGTTCGAACCAGACCTAGAGGACTGGGACTCTTAGCTCGCCAGATTCGAGTTCCACCTCCAGGCAAACCAGATCAATGATGAGGACCAGCAGAAGGCGACGCTCCTCAGTTCCTGTGGGAGAGTGGTATTCGACGTCGCTCGGTCCCTGGTTCCTCCAGCTGAAATCAAGGCTGTGTCCCTGGCTGACCTCAAGCTGAAGCTGAAGCTGAAGAGCCATTTCGCATCGCAACCATCGCAGATCTTGTTGCTCTGTATGTTTGTCTTGTTCTGATTTCTTCTGACTTCGTTAATAAAGCTGATTCACTGTTCACTAGCTGTGTTGAGTCCCGTACTTAACAGTGAAAGATTTTACAGCATATACTTTTGCTTAGTGCAGCTTGTGAAAGCTTCTGATGGGGTCCCACTTTACTTTTAGCCTGTTTCTTTATCTTTATCAAAGAATCCTCACACTTAAAGACTACATGAATGGAAGACTTCTGTAATACTTCTATGGGGTACTGCTCCTGTTTCAAATCTGTCTTCTCACTGGGAAGTCCCACTCTCTCCGGACTGACAGCTCACTCCAGACGTTGGCCACTCCTCTGCTACCTGCTTTTCTCTGTCTCCACAGTCTGTTTTCCCCAGGGACTTCTTCATTAGAAATTCCCCACACCACCAGGAGTCAAAACACCTCCTCCCTCTTGGAGTCCCCTCCCCGTCCTCCTCCTGCCCTGTTGGAAGGCAACCCCTCACCCAGGAAGCACTTCTCCCTAGTCTGGAGGGCAGTGTTTCCAGGCTAGGCCCCCTAGGCAGGTGGAAACACACAATTTTACAAGGCTTACCTATGCATGCGTATGCATATATGGGCCCATTACAATCTCTCGTTTGTTGTTGTTCCGTTGCAAGTCGAGTCCGACTCTTCGTGACTCCATGGACCCCATGGATCACATCATGCCAGGCCCTCCTGCTTTCCGCTGTCCTCTGGAGTTTGCTCAATTCCATGTTCGTTGCATCGGTAACATTGTCTAACCATCTCATCCTTTGCCGTCCCCTTCTTCTTCTTCTTTGACCTTCAATCTTTCCCAGCATCAGGGTCTTCTCCAGTGAGTGCTCCCTTCTCATTTGGTGGCCAAAGTATTTGAGCTTCAGCTTCAGTATCTGGCTGAGATGGGGAGAGGGATTCTCCTCCCCCCGGCAGGTTTCAGGCCCCCGCTACCTGCCCTCTCCTTGCTGCCGTTGCCGCTGATAGGGGGAGGGAAGCCTTCTGGGCCAGAGGCCGCACGGGGCTCACCAGCGCCATCATTCCAGGGGAGAAGCCTTGGCAGACCTGGTGGCTGGGGCCTGCCATCCACCATGCAGGGGGAGAAGCCTTGCCAGGACTAAGGAGGGCAGGGACAGAGGTCTATGAAATTAAGCATGGGGTGGAGAGAGCTGACAAAGAAGGGTTTTTCCTCCCTCTCCCCAAATACTAGAACTTGAGGACATCCAATGATGGGCAGTAGATTCAGGATGGTCAACATGAAATACACAGGGGGTGATTGAAATGTGGAATTTGCTGCCAGAGGATATCATGATGGCCACAGGCCTAGACAGCTTTAAAAGGGGATTCGATTGAAGACTTCCAGTTAAAGACTCTGCTGAAACTTTCCAAGAAAGCCGGTTAGGAAACTTCTACAAGGGAGAAGCCTGACTCAGAAAGGCTCCCTAGTTTGAGACATGCGGGAGGCAGGCCCGTAGCTAACGTGGGGCCCGCCCCCCTAGCATTTTTTCTGGGCCCCTCCCTCCCAGGCTGGCCCCAAAGTGCCTCAACTCACCACCTCTGACTTGCCTGCCAGAAAACTGAACACTATGAGTGCCTTGGTCATTAGCCCCCTCCACTTGCCCTGGAGCTTGGCAGGGGTGCAGTGCTGCCTTAGGGGAAGGCCAGCTTTTAAGGAGTTCCACTAATCAATTTACAATTGATTTAATTAACTTTGATTTTATTAGCTGGTGGCCCCCACCCGGCCCCCTCCCAAAAAATCCCTTAGCTACGGGGCTGGCGGGAGGAGAGGTGTGGGCAAATCCTGGCCAAAACGCAGTCCGTGTTCAGGAGGAAACCAAGAGCAGCTCATGTCTGCAACCAACAGCCAGCATTTGGGGGGGCATCACGGAGCCTCAGCTCTTGAAAGTGGAGGCAGGCAGGCAGGCTCACCCAGGTGCCAATTTTTAGAGGGCGATCTTTCGTTCCAATTAAAGTTCAGAAGTCCCCCAGGGAGCAATGACAAACCTAAGATCCAGCCGGCTAGATAATAACACCCTCCCTCTTGAAGCAGGAGGAGCTGAATGACCATGGGAGGAAGGGTTCTCCCAAATTATTATAAATT